ACCTGGCTGCTTCTTGCTCTGACTGAGGGCTGCTGGGAGCAGGGGGCGGGGCTTGTTGCATGTGCCCGGCCCCTGGGCTCTTTACTGCCGGAGCTCCGCTCCTGTGCACTCCTGCAGGAAATGACCCCTGAGCAGAACAAAGCTTGAGTCCAGTGGCACTTTTAAGAAGACCAACAAAGTTTTATTCTGGGTACGAAGTGTGCGTGCCCACGAAAGCTCACACCTTGAATAAAACTTTGTTGGTCTAGAAGGTGCCCCCACTGGACTCGAGCTTTGTTTTGATTCCTGGCTGGTCTTCATGACATCATTGTCATTACGAGCATATTATTCAGGTCAATGAGATGCAGTGGCCTAGTTGGTGGGAACACTCTTCGTTTAACACGTCGTGTCCCTGTTGTCTGAATCAGGACTGGTCTCAACAAGCGCCCCACTCTGTGCCGCGGGGAGATGCACGGGAGTGTCGGGAAATGGAAGTGTGTGCGTGTCGAATGGGAGATCCCCGTCCCACAGTGCTCAGAGACAAAGCGGTTCCAGATCCCCCAAGAGTGGGATGAAGAGATCACTTCTGACAGGTAAGCGTTTAGAAAAGAGAAGGGGTGTTTTGTCTTCTGAAAAGTACTGGGTTCGACGCATGGAGGACTCGGACTACGACTACGACATGGGTTCAGACGTGTTTATTGTACTTCACAACAAGACAAGGAAAAACGGCCCTGCAAGGCCAACTATATACACTCCCACCCGGCACACCTCTGTCCCCATTGGAGGGTTTGAATTCCCCGCCAAGGGTGCTATTGGTTGGCTCGAGGTAGACTAGGATCCGAGGTGCCCTTTGTGTTTGGGGACCAAGCGCCTGCTTTCACCGCGGACCCCTGGTGGCGGTCCGCGTACATAACGACTTCTGTGTTCCTCTCTGAAATTCTCAGTATTCTGTAAACGGGGTAGCTTGACCTGTGTGAACTCTGTACAAGAGCAGGACTTTTAATGTCCTTCAAGTTGTTTGAGCGTGTCTTTTGTCTTCTGTGTCAGTTAAAACATGCCGGCTTACTGAGCACTTTGGTGGGCTGATATCAGAATGACTTCAATATACTGCCTTTTTTGCTAACCTTGAAGTGATTTTATTCATAGAATCATAGAATGTGAGAGTTGGAAGGGATCTTGCAGGTCATCTAGTCTGACCCCCTGCACTCTGCAGGAGCATAGCCGAAAGAGAGCCCTACAAGATAACCCGAAAGATGGTTGTCCAGCCTCCTCCGCTTGAAAACGTCCAGCAAAGGAGCATCCACCCCCTCCCGAGGCAGTCTGTTCCACTGCTCAACCACTCTTACTGTTAGGAAGTTTTTCCTGATATTTAGCCCGTAACGACTCCCTTGTAATTTCCACCCGTTAGATCTATTCCTCACAGATTGATCTAAGAAAAGAAGAAATCATCTGGTCTTTGAATTATTTCCCCTGACATTGACTCAACTCTTCCAGTTTAACCTGAAACGATAAAGCTGATGCCTTTGCTTTGTTACGCACTTTAGAATGATGCAGGTTATGAATCTAATGGGATACATAGACGCATCTGCATAATGGTATAGCTGGCAGGATTCCTTCTTTTGCAGAAGTGTAGTTTCTCTGGAGTAGCCTGGAAGGAGGCAACATTAGGGGAAGGCCTCGGCCTCTCTGCCCTGTTGCTGGCTCTCCAGAGGAACTGGCTGGCCCCTGTGTGAGACGGGAGGCTGGACTAGAGGGACCCTCCCTGGTCTGATCCAGCAGGGCTCTTCTGAGGTCCTTCTCAGGGGAAGGCCTCGGCCTCTCTGCCCTGTTGCTGGCTCTCCAGAGGAACTGGCTGGCCCCTGTGTGAGACGGGAGGCTGGACTAGAGGGACCCTCCCTGGTCTGATCCAGCAGGGCTCTTCTGAGGTCCTTCTCAGGGGAAGGCCTCGGCCTCTCTGCCCTGTTGCTGGCTCTCCAGAGGAACTGGCTGGCCCCTGTGTGAGACGGGAGGCTGGACTAGAGGGACCCTCCCTGGTCTGATCCAGCAGGGCTCTTCTGAGGTCCTTCTCAGGGGAAGGCCTCGGCCTCTCTGCCCTGTTGCTGGCTCTCCAGAGGAACTGGCTGGCCCCTGTGTGAGACGGGAGGCTGGACTAGAGGGACCCTCCCTGGTCTGATCCAGCAGGGCTCTTCTGAGGTCCTTCTCAGGGGAAGGCCTCGGCCTCTCTGCCCTGTTGCTGGCTCTCCAGAGGAACTGGCTGGCCCCTGTGTGAGACGGGAGGCTGGACTAGAGGGACCCTCCCTGGTCTGATCCAGCAGGGCTCTTCTGAGGTCCTTCTCAGGGGAAGGCCTCGGCCTCTCTGCCCTGTTGCTGGCTCTCCAGAGGAACTGGCTGGCCCCTGTGTGAGACGGGAGGCTGGACTAGAGGGACCCTCCCTGGTCTGATCCAGCAGGGCTCTTCTGAGGTCCTTCTCAGGGGAAGGCCTCGGCCTCTCTGCCCTGTTGCTGGCTCTCCAGAGGAACTGGCTGGCCCCTGTGTGAGACGGGAGGCTGGACTAGAGGGACCCTCCCTGGTCTGATCCAGCAGGGCTCTTCTGATGTTCTTATTTAATAAACTGTGCCTGCTTCTTCATTGTCCTTCTGTCTTTTCCTTCTGGTTACAGCTCAGGATGGTGACCCCCAAGTTCCAGGCGCTCCGTCCTGCACCTTCAGCTCCGGAGCCAGTGCTGAGTCAGGAGACCCTCCCAAGAAGAGATGTCCCAGCCTAGACCAGCCTCCGCCTCTCTGTCGCTGGGGGAAAGCGGATGCCCGGGAGGGTCAGGCAGAGGACGGGGACCTGGGGCCTGTGTTGTCTCAAAAGCTCGACCGCCTGTCGGAGGACATGAGCGCCGTTTGCAGAGACGTCTCCCGGATGCAGAGTCACATGGACAGGCTGGAGCAGGACGCCCGGGGCTGGGTCCTCGAGCTGGCCGCTCTCCGCATGGAGAACCGGTGCCTGAGTGAGTACGTGCGGCGGATGGAGAGCCGCTGCCGCACCCTGGAGGGCCGCTCCCGCCGCAACAACCTGCGCCTCTTGGGCTTGCCGGAGGGCGTCGAAGGCAGCGATGCCGTGTCCTTCCTGCAGAAGACACTTCCTGCCATGCTGGGCTGGCAGCCGGATGCCCCACCCCTCGAGATCGAGAGCGCTCGCCGGGTGCAAGGGGGGGTGTCTTGGGAGGCCAACGGGAGGCCCCCCCGTGCCCTGGTGTTCCGCCTGCTGCGCTTTGCGGACAAGGCCACCCTTCTGCAGGCCGCGCGTACACGACCTCTCAGTTACGCCGGCACGCAGGTCACCATCTTGCCGGACCTCTGCTCTTGGCCCTCTCCGCGCAGGAGGGTCCCTTTGGGGGCATTCCGGAGAACCAGATGGGCAGCGGACCTCTGCTTTGCCGCCAGGCATTCCTCCTCCTGTTACACCTGGGCCCAAGGACTTCGGGAGCCTCCGGCCGGCTCTGGGCCCCTCTCCGGGGAGAGAGAGGGCAGGGTTTCTAAAAGGACGGGGACGGGCGGCTGGAACATGGGTCCATCGGCAGGCGCCGCGCGTCACAGCATGTGTCATTCCACAGGTAGCCCCGAGTAACCCAGCCCGTGATGGCGCCTGCACACCGGAGGAACACCGAAGAAAGTGGGTTTGGTTCGTCTAGCAGACGGACTGGCTTAGACTGCCCTTTTCCCATTCAGTGTATCCAACCGCAGGGGCGCCAAATGCTGTACTGTCAAGAACAGGCGGCAAGAGCACAATCGCACCCTATTGACCCTGCTGGACTTTGAAAGCCAGTTGCGCTTGTGGCGGCAGGACTGACCAGGGCAGTGGGGGGCACACACGAGGGTCCCTTGATCCAGCGTAGTCCGTACTGTCTACTCAGACGCAGGCAGAGATTTTTCACATCCCCTCCTGCCTGCCTGACCCTTTTACACTGGCGATGTCGGGGCCTGTACCTGCATGCCAAGTGGACGTCCTGCTCCTGAGCCACAGCCCCTGAGTGGTTCTCAGTATTTGGTATCTTACATCCCACCAACCACTCTGTCAAAGAACCCGGGTCCCACCATGATAGAAACAAATCGCCCTCTATTCCTGAGAAGGGACGTTTATACAAGCATCCTATTATTATTATTATTACTACTACTATATATAATTTACGGTCAGTTTTAAAGAGATACAAAAATTGCAGGAGCACAGCGGAGAGCCCCTGTGGGGTTGGCAAAGGCACTTGCTGGTGGGCAGGAGGAATGGGGGAGCGGAAGAAATGCCAGAGGTACAACCAGCATCCCAAAAGATCACAGACGGATGGTCCCTTGCAGGTGGGGGAGGCAGGATAGGGTGAACTCGGGGATTGAGGGAGAATGAATTCTTAGTAACTGAAGAAGGAGAAGAGAGGTTGGATTGATACCCCGCCCTTCAGTAGCAGAAGGAGTCTCAGAGCAGCTCACAATCTCCTTACCCTTCCCCTCCCCACAACAGACAGACACCCTGTGAGGTGGGTGGGGCTGAGAGAGCTCCGAGAGAACTGCTTGTGAGAGAACAGCTCTGAGAGAACTTGTGACTGACCCAAGGTCACACCAGCAGCTGCATGTGGAGGCGTGGGGAATCAAGCCTGGTTCTCCCAGATTAGAAGAAGAAGAGGAGATTGGATTTATACCCCGCCCTTCACTACCCAAAGGAGTCTCAGAAGCAGGGGTCATCCCCAACCCCCCAGTCCAAAACAGTCCAGTGGCACCTTTAAGACCAAGTTTTATTCAGGTAGAAGCTCTCACTCCTCTGCGAGGACAGATCTGCACGTTCCCCCCCCCCAATAGCTAGCAATCCAAAAGAGTCCAGTGGAGCCTGAGCAGTGGGTGTTGCCTTCTGACACACTTCCGGTGATGTCAGTGGGCGCGGCATATGCAAATAAGTTATGCTAATGAGCTCCTGCACCTCTTTTTCTACGAAATGACCCCTGCTCAGAAGGGCTTACAATCTCCTTCCCCTCCCCACAACAGACAGACACCCTGTGAGGTAGGTGGGGCTGGGAGAGCTCTCTCGATGACTACCCATGAGAGAACAGCTATGAGAGAACTTGTGACTGACCCAAGGTCACACCAGGAGCTGCGTGTGGAGGACTGGGGGATCAAACTCGGTTCTCCCAGATTAGAGTCCACGCTGCTAACCACTACAGCAAACTGGCTCCAAATTGCTATAGATCCATCCATGAAGCTGCCTTATAGCAAATCAGACCCCTGGTCCATCAAGGTTAACATTGTCTGCTCCGACTGGCAGCAGCTCTGCAAGGTCTCAGGCAGAGAAAGGCCGGTCTTTCGCATCGTCTACTGCCTGGTCCTTTCAACTGGATCTGTTGGGGATTGAACCTGGGACTTTCTGCATGCCAAGCCGATGTTTTTTCCACTGAGCCACAGCCCCTCCCAGACTACTTCTGCATCCCTCTGGTGGTACGCGTCCCACTGGTTGAGAACCAAGGTGTTTAGGGGCTCATGGGCGTCACTCCCCTGTGGCTCTGCTGCATCTTAGCAGGGGGATCCCAGAGGGATGGGCGTGATTTCTTGCCATCCCCCAACCAGAGTCCTTCCCTCTGGGGTTCTGAAAGATTTCCAGTTTGGTGTAGCGGTTAGGAGTGCAGACTCTAATTTGGAAGAACCGTGTTTGATTCCCCACTCCTCCACATGCTGCCAGCCGGGTGACCTTGGGTCAGTCACAAGTTCTCTCAGAGCTGTTCTCTCAAGGGCAGTCTTCAAAAGAGCTCTCTCAGCCCCACCCACCTCACAGGGTGCCTGTCTGTTGTGGGGAAGGGGAGAGGAAAGGAGTTTGTCAGCCGCTCTGAGACTCCTTCGGGTAGCGAAGGGCCATGGGGTATGAATCCAATCTCTTCTTCTTCTGTATACGTTCAAGGCCACTTGACTTAATCTGTGCCTATTCCGTGGCCTCCCCTGTGCCCCCAGGCCTGAGCCGAGAACGGTCCCTGCCTATTCCACCCAGTTGAGAAGGCCACAGGTGTCCCTATTCCCTGTGACGGCGACCTCGTAATGACAATTCGTGTCGTTTGCAATCCTGAGGCCTGACGGACCCTGGGGTGACCGTGCAGAATGGGCCTTGCAGCCGCCCTCCTTAGCATGAGAGCTGAACTGGCCCTCCCTCTGCTCATCTGCCGTCTCCTGGGCATGCTTCAGGGAGCCGGCTCTGACCTAGACAATGGCGTGGATGCAGCAGGGCTGGGAAGCCACCTGGGGGGGGGTCACATCGTGGCAGAAAAGCACGGGCCGAAGGGGGCCCCCTGAAGCCTGTGGCTCCTCCGTGTTTGGTCAGCAAGGAGATGTCAAGAGGATGCCTCCAAGATGGCCGCTCCTCCCGCCTCGGGAGCCCCTTCTTCCCGAGGCCAACCAGATCCCACCCGTGGGGACCTTTCCTGAGGCACCGTGGGGCGTGGCTGGTTGGGCCGCCACCGGCTGGCTGGAGAGGATTCAGGGTTATTTTAAAAATGCGTTTTTAAAAAAATGTGTGGGTTTATATTTTCGATGTATTGTTTCTATGCTATTTTATATCGGTACGTGGACTCTACATGGTTGTGTGAACCCGCCCCTGAGCCTTTGTGGATTAGTCTGGGCTGTCCGTATGAATAATAAAAGGTATCGAGGGCAGGAGACTGTGTGAGGAAGCTCTGTGGGGGGCGTCTCTGGAGTCCGTGCCTTGCTCTGTCCACCCCGGCAGGTCCCAGCTGGAGATCTTCCCTCCGCCTCATTCTCGAAGGAGGCCGTACAACCAGGGTTCCTTCTAAGCTGAGTTACTGTGAGCCAGCTCACAGTTTTTTAGCCTCCAACTCACAGATTTTTGTCTGAGCTCAGGAAGGAGGGCTCCAGAGCAAGCCAGTTGATGCAGTGGCCAAATCGCTTGCTCATACTTTAATGTCAGTAGTTCGCAAAGTAGAATTTTTGCTCACAAGACTCCACGGCTTAGAGGGAACGTTGCGAACAACCCAGCTGGACTCCTTGGGGTCTCTCTGGGGCCTGGACCATGGATGGCGTCACAGTGGGGCACCCCTTCTCTCTTCTCAGAGGGCTGCCTCCCCTTCAAAAGCAATGCCAGAGGCCGAACATTCAGCCTGAAGAAGAAGAAGAGACTGGATTCATACCCCATGGCCCTTCACTACCTGAAAGAGTCTCAGAGCAGCTTACAAACTCCTCTCCCTTCCCCTCCCCACAACAGACAGACACCCTGTGAGGTAGGCGGGGCTGAGAGAGCTCTGACAGAAACTGCTCTTTTTCAAGAACAGCTCTTATCAGAAGTAGGGCTTGCCCAAGGTCATCCAGCCAGGTGCAAGTGGAGGAGGAGTGGGGGTATCGTGAATGGTCATTGACTAAAATGCTTTTAAGAGGAGAACATAAGTGCCCTGCTGGATCAGACCAATGGGTCGCTGAGTACCGCATCCTGTCTCACACAGTTTCCTCTGGAGGAGCAACAACAGGACATAGAGGCTGAGACCTTTCCCTGATGGGTGATTAGACAAACCCATGTTCTTTCAACAGCTGCAAACCATAACTAAATAGAACCTCCACATCCAGAGGCAGCATACCTTTGAATGCTGGTGGCTGGGGGGTGAACAACAGGAGCTACCGGGTGCCTGTTTCGTTGGGTTTCTTTGAAGTATCTGGCTGGCATCTGGGCTGGGTGGGCCCTTGGTATGATCCAGCAGAGTGGAGGTGGGCACATACATTGTCCAAATGACCAAAACTGTATGGACTGGAACCATCTGTTTCAATGTATCTGAAGACGTGTGTGAGCACACAAAAGCTTATAATAGAATCAGAGCTGGCCAGTTTGGTGTAGTGGTTAAGTGCGCGGACTCTAATCTGGGAGAACCGGGTTTGATTCCCCACTCCTCCACTTGCAGCTGCTGATGTGACCTTGGGTCAGTCACAAGCTCTGTCAGCGCTGTCCTTGAAAAAGAGCCGTTTCTGTCAAGAGCTCTCTCAGCCCCGCCTACCTCCCAGGGTGTCTTTTGTGGGGAGGAGTTTGTAAGCCACTCTGAGACACCTTTGGGTAGTGAAGGGCGAGGTATAAATCCAATCTCTTCTCTTCTTCTATTCAATCTCAGAGTTGGAAGGGACTACCAGTCATCTAGTCCAACCCACCTGCAAACACAGGAGCAACATTATCCAGTCAGTACCAAAAACCTCCAGCGATGAAGAATCCAGCATCTCAGGAGGGAGACAGCCTTTTAAAAAATTATTTGTGAACATGTCCTAATGCTTTTTGAGAAACTAACTTATTCTGCATAGATTCAGGCGCGTGGCCGTCTTGGTCTGAAGCAGCGGAACAAAGTCTGAGTCCTGTGGCACCTTTAAGACCATCAAAGTTTTATTCTCGGTATGAGTCTTGAAGCAGCGTCTGGACAAATACTTGTCAGAGATACTGTAGGCTGATCCTGCACTGAGCAGGGGGTTCGACTAGATGAAGAAGAAGAGATTGGATTTCTACCCCATGGCCCTTCACTCAAGAGGCTCAGAGCGGCTGACAAACTCCTTTCCCTTCCCCTCCCCACAACAGGCACCCTGGGAGGCGGGTGGGGCTGAGAGAGCTCTTGACAGAAA